GGGGGGGAGAAAAGAAAAATATCAATCAATTAAGGCACTAAAAACTTCCTTATCTGGTCTTCGCGTGACATCGGTTTCTAGTTACATGAACGGCGTACTGCTATTATGTAGATAAACATCGATATGCAAATTAATGACACGGTTTTTAATATCAAATAGACATTGTAAATTGTATGCGTTAATCATACTTGTACCCACATCACGGTATCAAAAGTTCTATAAATATTTCGAGAGGAAGAGAAAACTAATAAAACATTGCTCCGGATGTAATGATAACATAATCCTTTCTTTATCTGTCGTCCTGTCCTATTAGTTTCAAAGATAATTAACGTAAATCAGCTATTTATACCTGCACATTGCATTTAATAAAAGAATTAATTAAAATTCCTAGATCTAAAATAAAAATCTAATGAGAATAATTCACTCACCATCAACATATTGACGACACGTGCTTGAATTCCATTAGCACTACACGTGATACGTACATGTATGTAGTCCTGATAGCCACCTACATACTTATAACTAGTTTCACTTAAATTCCTTTTCAGCATCAAGTATTTTAAGAATATTTTGTAATGTTTAAATAGATTAGAAAACGAACTAGTTAATTATAATATGTGTCTGTCCCTGCAGAAAAACGTCCGTATGCATGGTCTGGCGTCCGTTACTGGGAGCACATCTGTGGGCTTAAGGGTCTGTCTGTGCGATCGTGTACTTGATGCTACGTGTACTGCGAAGCACTCGTTATTTTTTTTAATCCAAAATGCATTTCCCATGCCAATCGGGCATTATAGAACGAGTATTCTACATATCTTGGTTCCTGTGAACTCGGCCATGGCATAGCTGAGAAACAGGTTGTCTAAGGCCTGGCAAAAACTATACATAGGGAGACTTGTGAGGAGGTTTTAATATAGGTTTGTTACTCCACAGAGTACACGGACAAAAACGGCTACCGTTTCATGTCGGATTACACAGACGGAGGGAGGGAGTGACTCGATTGAACATCCAGGGTCCGCTACACGCGTTTGTTGTTATTTCCTTTACGTGGAAAATTAGGGCTGGGGTCATCGGGTACACTATTGTGGTGTATAGTAAACGGTGACAAGGCGGACCGGACCCGAGGGAGCAGTTACTATTTGGTCGTTAGAGACAGTCATGATTCTGAGGTTATAACACGCATCGTCAAACTGAACTTCCCCTGGCTATGTCGGATGGACTGGTTATGTCATCAGTCTCCAGGTTTTCCTCAGTACACTGTTATTGTTGTTGCAGTGCACGTTCCCTGACTTTTGGAGTCTACTTTTTATACTCGTCCTTAAGGGATGATGCTATTTTATACTACATTTGCGTTTTAAGTCAGGTCTTAATGTAATCTTGTATATACTTTATTGCTTCCCATGTTAGTATAACTTCAGTGGTATTTTTTTTAAATACGTGTCAATTAATATTTCCACCCCCCACCTCCCCACCCCCTCCACATGTAAAAATATAAAAGATCAAATCCGAGATTCATGCTTTGTTATAGTGGAGGGACCAGCCGAAGCTTCTTTTACTGTATATTTCCTGTCAAATAGCTCGGAAAAAAACAATCCATTTTAACACTTGTTTCAACTGAATTGCTATTTCACAGTTAGGTTAATACATAAGTATGAACAGATTCAAGTGATCGATATTCACAAAGAAAAATTTCTAAGACGCGTTGCAAAATTCAAATATTTGCTTTTACTTCTTTAGTAACTACAGGTATTGTCACATAAGTTTTTATAACAATGATTTATGGTTTTCCCTTCATTTATGAATTTAAAAATGACTTCGTTGTTATGAAAGATTTACTCGCCATTTTGACCCCTGACCAGTTATCGACACTGTGTCCCGATATCCAGATGATTAGATCGGTGCGGAGATACGAACAGATTAAATGTTTATTTTCGTGTAACGATGTTGTTATGAAACCGAAATCACTCGACCTACATTCTAATTATCAACAAACATTAAGGAATTTAGGTCACACCAGTGTTATTATTGCAGTTGACATCTGCAGTATGTTCATGTTGCAATTAATGAACACTCAGTGTATGATTTAAAACAGAAGTTACAGTATACCTCTGGATCCATGTATTTCTCAGCACAATTTGTTATTACCATTGATAAAACAACAGTGGAAAAACATGCAATAGATTTTGGAGAATCATTGCAATTTTACCTCACAAAATATATACCAAAGAAATATCGCATTTGTTTAACTCGAATCCGTACATCTACCCATTCTTTGGCTGTAGAAGTTAGAAGGTATAATAATATACCTACATAACGTGGATATTGTACACAGTGTTACTCCCCCTCTGAAGTAGAGGACGAATTTCATTTTTTATTGGTTTGTTCTAAATTCCAAAATCTCAGATCTCGTTTTATCAAAAGCTATTACTGGAAAAAAACATCTGTGTTTAAAGTCGTTCTGTTATTGAGTGTCCATACTATTAAAGTATTGTGTGTACTAGGAAAATTCATCTATGAGGCAAACAAATTAAGGGTATTATAATGGAATATGATTGTCTTCATTCTCTGTACATTGTCCATGATTTGTGTATAATATGTATCGTATACTGATGGGCCAATGGCCCAAAGTTCGAATAAAACTTGAAACAATCCCCTCGGGAGAACGCTTGTAACACCTGTAATAGACGTCCCGCGCTGCAAGTTTCTATCTACGATACTCTGTGTCCGCGGACTCAACATGCGAACAATGTACAATAATGTACATATAATGCACATTCCCGAATTTTTGCATTGGTAATATGTCATTTTGTTTCAGTGTATCAAAATGTGTCAATACACCACACTGATTTAATAACCGCGAAATAAAGCACAACACAAATATTTGTACTTATTAGCACTTGCTTAAAGACAAAAGTACTATACCAGCTGGTGGAGTGAGGTTGAGAGAAGGGGGGNCCCAAACACCAAACACCACCTAACAAATTATATCTCCAGAGCAACAGACATTCTTAAGTTACAATAAACGATCAACCAAGATGTTTTTTTTTACTCAAGTGCAAATACTGCTCCTCCAAATAACTTAACAAATAAATACACAACAATTTCATAAAATATGACACCCTGCTAGCGAGCGTGTCCTCCACATGTCGAATGGCAATCATGGTTGGCAGCATATATGAGTTATGTATGCCGAAACATGACGGGTAACGCCGCCGAGGAAACTCCCGACATCCCAACACATGCAGTTTACAAGTTGTTATTCACATGTCTTAAGCCCCGTCAAGTACTTAGCAACACTTGACATACATAAGTGGATACACATTTTTATAGGCTATGTCTTTCATTTTCTGTTTTAAGGATTTCGTACAGGACTTAATAATTTTGAAATATCCCCCGTAATACCTGCCAAACTTGACGTAATGGCCACGCTATGATGAATTACTGTCAGACTGACCACGGGACGCTCAGCAGTTAATTTGCTAGAGTGGACGTCGACCATCAAGCATATATTCGGCAATATTTGAATTAAGGAATTGTTTTACTTGTTAGTTTTTTACAGCATCAATTAAGTTCAAAACTTTCCATTAATAACACCAGTGACAGCAAACTGAGAAGTCAGTTCCCACAAATATAAAAAATGAACAACAAATTTTTGAACATAGACTCGTCGCAGTCATAAAGCTAATATTAAATCGGACAACCATCTCCTGCTCTGACGCTATTTATACGGTTAATTTGATCAATTAATAAGTATGTATATTGTGTATGTCTGTATTGGCAGCGCTCTGTCCTCTTTAACTAGACGTTGGTAAGGTACACATCCCGTTGTGCTCTAGTTTCGGTTTTATTTTACGCTTAAACGAAAGTGAAAACTGACATGTGTCTTTGAATCTGCTGCACACGCTCGCGTTATACAGGTGCATTCGCAAGCAAAGACATCAATACATTTACCACGTCTGTTTAATTTTGTTATAAATTAACTGTCATAAAATTTAATAATAATAAAACAAAAATAAAAACAAAAAAGTGTGCAAAGAAAAATATTATTATTTGTCTTACCTGTTCATAGATCTGAAGAAATCTTGGTGTTTTCCAGTGTGCCGTGTACTGGTGTTAGCGTACAGTCGGGTACTGATATATCCTTGTCAATTCCTTTGTCGAATTAGGAATCTACTCCAGAAAAACCAATCCAATCCGATGTGACTCATAAATGTAATGATAAGTAATATCCGATGTCTACTGTCAGTTCGTGTAGCAGTAGATTAAATACACCTATCCACGCGCGCAGGTATATATATATATGTGCTTACCTGTGCGATACTGTTTGATACCAGTTTTAATTTGTAGGTCACTCAACACCTAAAACATGTAATTGTCGGAAGTGATCTCATAATGTAAATAGAGAGGTATACCGTGGCTGTGGTTCTAGTACACTTCACATAGGGTTTGTTACAAGTGGCAAACATACAGCTACAACTAGTGGATGTAGGAAGCGCGAGCCGGGTGAATGAACTTGTTACTGAATAGGAACAGCTATTTGTATTGATAAAGAAGATTATTAATCTATGGGAGTTCTACCGATTCCTTTTGTTTGGTATCATATTGAACACCTTTGTTCAATACTTTCAACCTTTAAATCAATGAACTGGTTAAAAACATTTACCCAGTTCAGAAATGTTAAAAGTTTGAACGACCTCAAGAATATTAACCCGACTCAAACGTTTATAATTGGAACAAATATAAATGTATCAGGTTTCAAAATGATATATTTACAGTGTCACACTGACGCCCTTACGCTAACGCTATTTTTACGACACAAAGGAATACAGAAGTACAAATAACAGAAAAGACATACGATGGACATATCACAGATGATAAATTCAAGTTATTAAAAATCTCATTTATTACTAAGTTGTTTTGAAAGTAGGGTATATGTTTAGTCTGTGTCAGCTTAGCACTTTACCGAGGATCTTGCATTATGGGTAAGTTCCTTTGGAATAATTGCGAATCTAGATAAAAGGGTGTACACGTGTGCTTTGATAATTCAATTTTTCTTTGTCACGAACAAGCATTTGGTCAAAAAAATCAATGAATAAATCGCACGATATTCATCGCTGCTGTAAATCACTATTACATTACGTGATAATGATACTTGCTCCTTCCTGTATAAAGCGAGCAGATACCCGCACATTTTTATTGTCACTTATTTAAACAAAATATATTTGGAAAATTCCAAAACAAATAAAACAATCAGGAAGAATGGCCCACAACTCAAACTGGGGCAGGATGTTAATCTTTTTCTGCTTTTAGAACAAAATTTAAAAGAAAATTTAGTGTAAAGATAGCAAGAGGTTTTTAAAATACAAGACAATTATTTATACACAATACAGCTAGAAACATGTAATTGTCGGAAGTGATCTCATAATGTAAATAGAGGGGTGTTCAGTGGCTGTGGTTCTAGTACACTTCACATAGGGTTTGTTACAAGTGGCAAACATACAGCTACAACTAGTGGATGTAGGGAGCTAGACGTTTGTTTAAACCGCACCTTTACTTATTTACTCGACGTTATGATAGGCTTCTTTCTTTTTGTTGTTCAGTGGCGGCGGATCCAGAGACCTATCTG